GTCACGAAGTGCAATATACAGTATCACTGGCTTCATATCTAGTAGATTGAAGCTCTGTATCTCCCCGACCTCCGCGTCCAAAGCAAGCATAAAGGCCGGAACGAGGCCAAAAATGCCAAACCAATTTCCCCTATTCTCATGGCAACTCAGTGTACACATTCTTCTGCAGCCCGAAATTTCGCCTATCATGTGACCCCTTACCCTGCCCTGAAGCACGATGCGGAGGATCCTGGTGGGCTCCACAGACCGTAACACCCGCAACCCCATTTGTCTACTAAAACCCACAAAAACACCCGACCATCCACAGACCCTACCCACTAGCTCATATCTTCATTCGAGCTGGTAAATGTTTATCCGGGACCACGTGAACTAACTACTTGTGAACTGGTCTCCCCCACCTTCCTTCGCTTTATTTGTCTACCATTGTCTAATGCATGAGGCCATTGTGCATCAACGCAGATATAATGACTACCATAGCGATTTGCATTTTTTATAGAAGATAACTGTCGTAAACATAATTTGACGGAAGGCAGGGGGGCTTCGAGTAGGCAACCAGCTTAAATTAAGAAAGGAACAAATAAATTTGTAATAAGTGGCTGAGCCCCGTTTAATAAAAATGTTGGCGGATAGGAACATATTACAATCGAGTGGGTTAACTTTCCCAGTAGCGCTGACCACTGGTAAAGGTGAAGTAGGTTTGAGGCCTGCCGGATGTGGAGAAGTTTTGATTTTGGTTTCGCGCTCGCTTTGGCCTAATATTTAGAGAGGGTTTGTAGTCCATGGATTGCAGAGAAGTGCGGAATTCATTCTGAGCCAAGATTAAGGCACGGGCTTGAGCCAAGTATTCGGCATCCCTTTCAGACTCATCAAATATTGCAGGGGTGACATTCTGTGATCTGTCCCGACGCCTCTGCTTGTTAGTCGAGTAGAACGAATTTGAAAACCGCCCGCGTTGTGTCCTACCGACGCGAAGTCGACTGAAATCGAACGAGCCTCTTCTTTGTGTAGTCCTAGAGTTGAGTTGAGTCCCGGTGGAAGCAGACAACATGTCGAGCTCGCGTGCTGCTTGGCCTAAAGAAAATTTGCGGTCAATGAAAGGAAGAGTAGGCTATATCATGAAATAAAGCTCGCCTACCAAATATACGAGTAGCAGCGCTGGCGTTTTGGCCACCCCGACGATTCCAATTACTTCTGGGAACAAATGATCTTTGACCTCGAAGGGATCTTTTACCGGCAGAGCGGACGGATAAGTTGTCACGTCGCATGGAATTTGTTAAACCAAGGCGATTAAGCGGCATGCGTGGATTTCCACCCAGACGAGAAGCTGCAAAGGAATTAAAACGTCGATGGCAGGACTGCAATTTCTCGTTCGCTTCATCTTGAAAAAATAGCGCCCATCACCGACTGCAATCACGTGAGATACCTCGGGTTAATATTATGATCTGGCAAGCCCCACCTCGAACACTTGGAGCACGACCGATAAGAATCTGTGGAATTATAACTAGGATGATAAAGACGCGGGCGCGGAGAGCTTGGACCGACTACTTAAATAAGAGACCGCAAGTTTTGACATTTGCGGCCCCGTAGCCTCAACCCGAGGAATAGATGTGACTGCAGCAGCTGAAATACCTTTACATATAGCTTGGTCGGTGAGGTAATTTAAGAAAGATAAAATCAAGGGCTAAATCAGAGAAAAGTGCGAACCGGCAGAAGGTATGTTTCTCTGACCGCTGAAAGCAATACGGCGTCGCTGCCTTCCTTGAATCAAGTTCGCAACATCAGAAACCGCCCTGGCTGCGGCAACAGCAGTTCTCTTAGCACGTTGAAGAACAGCTATTGCAGCAGACCTCCTTAGCCGAGGATTATTTTGCAAGGAATTCATATTTGTATTACTCCGGTTTGTGGTAGATGCGTTATTTTGCGAGTAGTGCCTTTGTCCGAGCCTTACGCCCCGAGAACGAGAGGCTACACGACCGCCTCTTCGATTCACCCTAAGGCTTGGTCCGGGGTTGGAGAACCTAGACTTGGCCTTGGCTTCCTTCCTGTTGAGCTTGATTATATCATCTAAAATTTAAAGACCAAAATTACATATGGAAAAAAAATTATTTAGGATCGTGTATAGGCATACCAAGACTCATGTCAACCTTATTGACGATATCGGGCTTTACGTCCATCTGGTGATTGAGGGTACGCTGAGTAGAAATGGAGGGACAAGGGAAAAATATCTGGCTAGGAAGCAGTTAAATAAAACAACAAACAACAAAAAAAATTTACAATATAAAAAATAAAAATTAATATAAAAATTAATAAATAAATAAAGATAGATGTTGCGTATGTGCAATAAATTAGGATTTTAGCGCTCGGCTTATATGCTCTATCCTTTCAAACATGAAGCAACCCTTTGTCTGATACACGCCGCTAAAGTTTGAAAGAAATTATGAAATGAAATCTGTCAAAAATAGACTAATAAACTGCCCAATGTTTAATCTCTATTTATTTAGAAGCCGAAGAGAATGTACAGCGGAATGCATTCGTAATTTTTCTATAAAACCATATTTGCGCTAAGCCAATCGATTTCTCACGCTAGTAGTAACTCTGCTGAAAAATGACACTGCGCTAATCATGCTTTAAGATATTATGTAGCATCTAAAAGTCCACATAACATTTATACCAATACAAATAATATAGTAATTGGGTGCCATTATTTCTTGAGCGCATTTAATTTCTGCATATTATTTCGAATTATATTACAAATTACGCAATTCAAGCAATCCAAATTTCAATTGGCTGAATACGGTCTCATTTGAGGAACTTGATGGTATGCATAAGTATCCAACCCATACCCACACAAAAATCAAGTTTATTTTCAGAGTCAACATATTTATTGTCTTATATGCTTAAATACGTGTCTACACTTACTGAGCTATTAATTTTATTTACCAATGCTTTATTAGTTCATACTCATTGTCATTCATATCATATCACCAAATGTAGATGATATTGGTTTCCACTTTTGTGACAGGTTGAGTGTGAGTCAGTCTTGACGATTTAAGCTTGATATTAAAATATTTCATTAGAGAAGCCTAATGTTGTTATGCATGTAATTGACCTAAGTTTTATTGCAGCTGATTCTCTGTGTAAATTATATTCCCGATGATTACATTTCCTAAGGAGGGGGGCGTCTCGTCTACAGACCTTACCACTTAGATTATACATGATGCCCCAGGGCAAGTTCGAACCACAAATAATGCTCTATAACTTAGTTTTCTATATTCCTTCAAGCAGCAGTTTTGGCAATGGAAATTCAACAAGTACTGACTAGCCTACGCAGCAAATACTTACTTATATACTCTGCTTGTCATGCACTGTTTTAGCTTGCAACTACCTCTATGATGCGCAATCATGTAAAGTAACTTGTTTGTTAATATAAGATTTTCTGACCTGCAAACGTCTCTATTGTTTGAACTTGCACTAAGGCCGATTGTCTCCATAAATGTGGTTTGTTTAAGTCAATATTGTTCAATACGCTCAAATAATATTCCACGACTAGTTTCCGATTTCTTAAGGAGTCACTTCATGATAAAAGCCTCAATCTCTTCGTTCTTGAGTCTTAGATTCGTATAAATTACATAATATTTTGAATGCTGTTAATGCAATTATTTGTCATCTATCCCTATCTAGGTCTTGTGTGATCTTAACTTCTTTAATAATGATGTAGATTTTTCTCTTATTTCAAATATAAGTTTCCTATTATGGAGGGTGTGATAAATTTGAAGTTGCATAGAAAGCTCCTGTAAATTTAGGAGGCCTTGTTACGCTCAATAAAGCCATTCATCGAATAAATATATAGAAATAGTAGGAAGCAAGAAAATGATTTTGCTTTATTTATGCTTGCTTTGTGAACACTGGTTTTAGGGCAAAAATAATTTGAGCCGGAAACGTATTAAAAATATTTCCCTCATTTTACAGAAACCGAGTCACAGAAACGTTGAATACAGCTAAATTAAAATAGGATAGATTGAAAGTTATGATCATTAGGACTCGAAAAGCAGAGCTGTGCATAAGTTTAACTTAAGCATAAGCATTTTTTTAGAGATTCGAGCTTATGAAAAATGATTGTGGAAGGCCTATTGGAACTCCGAAACCCGTATTAATCCAATAATCTTTTGTATTTATAT